ACTTATGGCAACCGGTCCCCCGCACTCCACGCCCCAGACACTTCAACCCCCATGGCACGTACCCCAGCCCCCACCCTTAAAAACATGTATCCACAAGACGCCCCGCGCACGGGGCCCCATACCGCACCCCCCAAAAAAACATAGGCTCATCGATACCCCACCCACCGGCTCCCAAACCCACACGCAATAAAAAAACGAAGTTTCCCCGTCCACTCCCTGCACCGCACAAGACAAAAAAACACATGAAAACACTCTTAGCCCCACACCCACAATACCTTCTGCACGAAATCCCACTACCCGCCAACATACCCCCACCACTCACATCCCAACTCCCACCCATAAAAATACAAAATGAGAAAAACAAAAACCAACATCACCAAAAGATCCAAATCCCCGAAACGACACTGCAGTCCAAAATCACAGTCCACCACCCAAACACCACGCTACTAACTGACGAACGCTGCAACGCCATAGCCTAACACTAAACGACGAACACCCATTCCACTTGTCTCATGCCTGAACATACTCCCACCACAACTCCCTACTCCCCACACTCCTACCACCATAACCCCGTTCCCCAGCACTACCTCCCCACCCCACCATATATACCTATCAATACCTCACCCACAAACACTGCCCACCCGCACACCAAATATGCGAACTCCCATACACACCCACACTCATATTCACGCACCCTCACCAGATCACATACACATACACACACCCCATAGACCAGGCACACACACTCTGCCTCACAAACCCACACACCCTCACATGCTGCCCCTCCCCGAACACACACACACACCTCCATCCTCAAACCACCTTCCCCCCACATTCCCTAGCCCAAACGTGCGCCCTCCTCAACCTCTCCCTCAGCATCTCGCACGTCAGAAACTTCCCTGCTTATACACTATGGAACAGTGAGTCCACAAGTCCTCTTCTTCCAAGAGGCCGACTCCTTGAACGCATCGCCCGTGGCGATTCATGTTCCGTTCGCTCCCCTACATAGCTTTCCCCCTCCACTCTCCTCCTCCTCGCTACCTCTCCACTCTCCTCCTCCTTCTCCCTCTCCACTCTCCTCCTCCACCTCTCCTTGGCCTCTGCGCTCAAGCGCCACAGCTACTCTTCCCTCCATAGCTGCTGTCTTCTACAGGCCTCATCATCTCCTCTCTCTCTCTCTATCTGCTGCTCTCAACCCTGGACAACTCTTCAGAGTTCCACGCAACTCTCCCCAAAGTTTGCGATCGGCAGACACTGCCTTCAATACACGCTTGAGGGCCAGACACTGCCATCGGCAGCCGGTGCAGCAACTCTGTGCTAGGGTGATCTGGCGATGGCGGCAATCAAGGAACACCTCTCAGATGCCGACATGAATGATCATGTGGTAAGTTTTGACTCGCACAAAGCGATACCCCTCTCACACCAATCACCCCCCACCACTTCACCTCCTACCCGGGAGCCAGAGGAAACTCCACCCACTGATGAGCCGTGACGGGCGCAAGCGGCGAAAAGCGCTTTAAGGGATGCGCCACCCCTCCTCAGTTGGCTACTACGCCAACCATGATGACACTGCCATCATTGCTCCCTCCCTCTCTCTCTCTCTCTCTCTCTCTCTCTCTCTCTCTCTCTCTCTCTCTCTCTCTCTCTC